TACAGGTAAGGCCATTGATGGCTCCTCATCAAGCAAGCTTCCCATGCTTAGGCCAATGTTAACTTTGTTATTTTTTTTAATCTGTATTGTTTATGAAAAATAGCAAGCAACCCATTTAGAAACTATAGCTACAACGAGCCACAGTTGTAATATACATCTTTAGTGAAAAATCTATTTCCCTTAAAGGAGTAGTTCACTTTAAAAAAAACTTTTGCTGATAATTTACTCACCCCCATGTCATCCAAGATGTCCATGTCTTTCTTTCTTCAGTTGAAAAGAAATTAAGGTTTTTGATAAACATTACAGGATTTTTCTCCATATAATGGACTTCAATTGACTCTAAAAGTTTCAAGGTCCAAATGAGAGTTTCAGTGCAGCTTCAAAGGACTTTAAACGACACCAGATGATGAATAAGGGTCTTATCATGCGAAACGATCAGTCGTTTAAAAAATAAATAAAAAAAGTTTAAGTTTTATAAGCACAAATGCTCGCCTTGCTCTGTTCTGTGATGCGCGTTCGTGACTCTCCTGCTCTAATTCATTCATCAAAATGAACAAATCTTTTTTCGAGTCATTTTGTTTGTTGAATGATCGAAATGACAGCATTGCCAGTAAGCAATAAAAAGTGAGGGTATAGGTCTGAATTTTGTAAGCCCTCTCACAATTTGAGAGCCAACCCTTTTAGAGCCCAGAGAAAGCTTATTTAACTCCCAATGCAAGTTCGCTGACCTCTGTGTTTTGGCACCAAATTTGATTGGTATCTCAGTGGCTGCAAGCAAATGCTGATGTTGTGAACACAAGGGGACCTCCAGGATCTTGTGGAATGCAAATACCTGTACTAGCCTTGAGGCATCGGGAGCAGGGAGACTGGTTTAGGGAGAGATAAAGGTGCTCTCTCTGTCTATGCAAAAATAAGAGACAACCTCGCTGTCTTGTGAAATGCTTTTGAGATATGTTTAACAGAACACCTTTGATGTTAGGGGATGTTGTTAATCAAAGACCACACAAAAACGTCTGAGTCTAATTGCTCGAACATAAATTTGTGAAGATTTGAAGAAGTCAAGACTGGCTACCTCAATGTGCTCATTAGTTTTGCGTTTGAAAGTGTCTGTTAATTTTATTCTGCGTGCCATCATGTCTAAGTATCTTCATTCCTTGGTTAACAGATAACCTAGATGATCGTAGCAACTTTGTTTTGACCTTTAAGGATTAGTTCACCTCAAAATGAAAATGTCCTAATAATTTAGTACTCACCCCAATGGCATCCAAGATATCCATGTCTTTCTTTCCTCAGTGGAAGAGAAAATACGTTTTTTGAGGAAACATTTCTGTATTTTTCTTCGAATAATGGACTTCAATGTACACCAATGTTTTGAATTCCAAATCAATGTGGTTTCAAAGTGTACGATCGCAGCTGAGGAATAGGGATGGGGTCTTATCTAACAAAACTTAATATATAATATAATATACACTAGCTCTAAAACATGCTGGGTTCTTTCAACCCATGTTTGGGTCAAATATAGACAAAAACACCCATTGGGTTTAAAAATGTAATTAAAACATTTAAACCAATGGTCGGGTTTGTGCATATTTGACCCAAACGGGTTGAAACAACCCAGCAATTTTTCAAGAGTTTTGAGTTTAAGATAAGATAAGATTCTGCAGCGGCAGCAGAATGAACAGTCTGTCATAATAACCTTGAACTAGTAAATTGCTTTTGGGGTTAATGGACCTCTACGGAAGCTGCATGACTGTATTTTGTTAATAGTTCGCTATTTAGTTTAATAGCCGCTCACAAATGGGGGGCAGTCGGTGAATCCTCTGGGTCACTATTGAATCTGCCATGATCTGCTGTCAGACACAGACATTCTTTAAGTTCCCCGGGGGCCCCTGCTATCAAATACATAATTTAGGACTTAATGGATGTGATTTCTGAGTGCACTTATCACTTATGAGTCCAACCTGCATGATGAGTTTTGTTTTGAGAGCCATTTCAGGTCTGTCGTAGACTTAATTTATGGCATTTTCAAGGAAGCCTAATGGCTCTTGCATGTTGGAGTGAGTAAAGAAGAACATTCGGTGTAATAAGACAGACTCTGAAATCAATTCCTGGGTTGTCTATGTCTCCTGGATATTCATCACCATGGTGGCGGGGTTGTTCTTGGCAACAATGGACACATGATCACTTAACTGACTCATCCTCAGGTTAATGGTTTACGGACATCCTCTCGACCTGTGAGAGCCATTCACTCATAATATTCCCTTTTAGCCTTATATGCCATTCAATTTGACTGCTAAAATTATTTAATTGATTAATTGTTGACTTTATTGAAATATGTCAACAATTGTCATTGTCATAATTAAATGTGTTTATTTATTTATTTATTTATTAAAACACCTAGATTTTGATGAATTCCAGATATTTGAATTTGAAATCTTTATTTCGAACATAAAAAGAAAGTACAAGATAAAACAATGTTTAAAAAACTTAGGAAAAATCAAAACAAATAAGCCGCAAAAATGTATATATAATTCTTTGCTGTTGACATACTATTATATGTGCGAAAAGGAGTAGGAAGAAGTAAAACTTATATACTCCTTCCCCTTAAATTCTATTCATTGTGGTCTCGGACTTTTAGGAAGCCAGACAGTACGTCAGGACTTTGTTTTTTTTCTAAGAACATCAAGAAAAGCAGCTGACAGTCCTATAGCCTCTCTGTATGCTTTCAACGAATGATCTGGTAGCACTCTACAGGCTCTAGGTCATGTTTTCCATCAAGAGTTTTTCAGCTGCTTTTTACAACAGGTGCAAGAAGAAGCTCCTGCAGTAGCACCTGTTCATGAAACAAAGAGCAGAGGGATGAGGGGGTTGGGAGGCCTGTGACATTTTGTTTACTTCACCTGGTGCTGGTTTTGTAGCTCTGAGGGCAATTACTTAATGCTCCAGTTTCACCCCCAAGTCATCATATGTCATGCTAAAAAACAGCCAGTTGTTTGATTGAAATGTAATTTAGGTGTAGATCCAGATTGTCCATTCCAGGTTTTACAAATTTATTGTTACAGTTAACCTTGAACCCGAAAGGTTCGTCATCAGGGAGGGGTTTATTTTTTAGCACTGGCCAGCTTTACTGTACATAGTAATTTTGTGAGGGGAATAGAGACTTCTGGGCGTTGCTTAGGACAGTGGTGAAATTTTAGGGGCCATTAAAAAAAATATTGTTAAGTTGAACTGGAAAGTCACCCTATCTATATTCTAAAATCTAAATTCATGTTATTGATCTTATTGTGATCAATTCATCAGTGCATGACTAATTTTCAAAGCTTTTTTGATTTTAAAGCATAGACTGTAAAAAATATGGACAAAGCATCTGTGACCTCACCCATAGACTTTCTTAAGAACTTGAGGCTGTTCATGGGGGGTATGGGTGGCGCCATATATTGGAAAATCTTGAGAAATACAAAATACAAATGTTCAGAAAGGATATAGAGGTGGTATGATGTGTTGTGTCAGATCATGGCTGAGACGTCAAATTCCACTCGGCGAGCCCGTTATCAGCTGTCAATCAAAGTTAACCGCCCTTATTTGTCATACATTTTATCTCTAAATACGATCTAAAAAAAATATTCACCCACCTCACAGTTGTCAGGCACTCGGAATCGAAAAATACAATAAAAGTCCATGGGACCAACCTGTAAAAGCATAAATTTATGCTGTGAAAGCGGACATTTTAACATGGGATCTATGGATATTTGCTCCCTTTTGGGACCACCCTCTAGCGGATTTTAGATGTATTGCAGTTTTTCGCACTTCCGGGTAGGCTTCATTTTTCAGATTAGAATGTTGCCGCTTGCTTTAAAGGCATTGATCTGCCTTCACTTTTGAGTGCAACGCCCAATTCTCAAAATCCAGTCAACAGCCATTGCATAGGACCAAGTCCCTGTTTTTTTGTTGCTAACTTGCTATCATGCATATTAGCTTCCAGCCTGTATGGTACAAAGTGGATTAGTAGCATTAGAATTTACATCCTTGCTCTTGCAGGTCTTGTAAAAAAAAACATGGCCCAGAACTGAATCTAGTTTTATGACATCTCCATATATGTGGACCACACTCCACTAAGCAGTAAGACAGAAATGTATCTTAGCATAACAATGACGCTAAACTGTGTGTCCACAGGCTGCAATCTACAATCTTTTCTCTACCAATGGGTTCATCTGATATTGTCAAGCTTTACATTTCATGATGCATTTCAGTGGAATTTTGTTTTGTGCCTTAATCTTACTTTTTATCAGGCCTGTTGTTGACAGTTATCCATCCCAGCTAGTGAGGTCCCATTCTCAGAAGTGCACTTGTGACACAACAAACCGGTTTTACTGGCTTTGGTGTTTGTGTAGAAATTGGATTCGGAGCCTTTTTTCAATTTGAATATTTAGTTTCAAGTGAATCTCATGTCAAATTGATGTGTACTGAAAACCCAGAGAGTCTGATTGAAATAGCCAACAGAAATGTTAATTTTTTCATGAAAGAAATGTGTAGCATATTTTTCGCCTAAAAGCAAGTGTCTATTAAAAAATCTAGGGATAGATCTAGAGAATAAATCAAGAGAAAATGTTTGAAACAAAGTTTTGTTTTTTGTTTTTTTTTACCTGCCATTAAATTGTTAAACAAAACGGAAGTTATTTTATTTAGACTATGTGTCAGAGAACAAGACATCTCTCTTTCTGCAAAAAAACATTCTCTTTGCACAAAAATTCTTTGAATATTCAAAGCACACAGGCAAACTATAATATTTAAATAATATTAAAATATTGAGGGTTGGAATAAAATGGCAATGCAAAAACACTTTTGACCTAGAATCAAGCATATTACTTTTAAAACACAAACCTATAACAATTAGAATATCATTGTACTTTGTCTATTTGAATAGGTTTACTTTAGATTTTGAGTGTTTTCACAACACATTGTATTCACTGTCAAACTTTTTTTTTAATTGTGCATTTTAGTGAGTGGCTCGGAAACTGTCACTGGAAAACATGGAGACACTGTTGAAATCCCATGCAACAAAGGCCGTGTCATGGAAGGGCTTGTTAAATGGAAATATGTAAGTTTGAGATTTACTTCCCTTATTTTTTGGTCATAAATTTAAAGTGTAATTTCTCTGGAATTTAAAAAATAACTTTCCAAACTGGTATCCCAAATATTTCTATTGCCACTTCCCTCTCTATTATTGTTAAGAAAAACTACTCTCAATTCCTTGCAAAATGGCTTATTCACAAGAAATCCCACCCTCAAACTAATGAGGGTGGCTAATTGGTTTTAAAAGCACTACAGAGCCACAGTATTTACACTTGAACATAAATGTCAATGTATGAATGATGTTATTGTAGTTTAACATGCTTTTTACATGCACTAGGACAATGGCAATATTCTGGTGAAGCGATCGGGTCAGAATGCCTCCATTTCGGAAGATGCGAACTACAAGAACAGAGTCGATATCAAAGAAGATTTTGGCCTCATCATCAGAGAAGTGACCATGGCAGATCAGAAAACCTTCACCTGCATGGTGTCGGGGGAATATGACATTTTTGAGTACCCTGTTCAACTGGCCATTTACAGTAAGAATCGGACACAATATAACATTTTCATATTGATAATGATAGAAGTTCTGATAACTAAGTGCTAAAATTATTGAATGCATTTATGAACCACACTGTCTAACAGTTTCCTCTCTTTTCAGAGCTTCCATCACAACCTCAGATTACAAACCAAACCACTGCAATGGCGGTTGGCAAACTAACTAAGGTATGTATATATATTAGAGCCAACATAGGAGCACTGCGCACTGAATGAAATATTATTTGTAGGGCTGTCAAATGATTAATCACGATTAATCGCATCCAAAATAAAAGTTGTGTTTACATAATATATGTGGGTGCACTGTGTATAATTATTTTGTATATATATAAATACACACAAATGCATGTATATTATTTATATATAAAATTTTTATATTTATATATAATATAAATTATATATAAATCTATATACAGTATATACATGAAAATATTTCTTAAATATATACAACCATGTGTGTGTGTTTTTATATATAAAATAATTCTACACAGTGCACCCACATATATTATGTAAACTTTTATTTTGGATGTGATTAATCGTTTGACAGCCCTAATTATTTGCAGTGAATACAGCATGAATGGGATTTAAAGACTTGACAAATTCTTATATGTACTGGAAGTTTCACATAAACCCACATATAAGTCCTCTTAATATGCGCATTAAAATTGTTTGGGGTGTTTATTTTCGTCTCATCAGTTAGCGCAGTGTCGTACTGAAAATGCCAATCCAGCTGCCAACATCACATGGTTCAAGAACAAAACTCCGCTTTTGTCTGATGGATCAGGTAGAGTGAAATATGGTGAAAGTTGCAGTTCACCCAAACATTTGCCATCATTTATTCACCCTCATTTTATTCCAAATCTGTGTGAGACAAATTAAATCAATGCTGTTTCAATAATGGGTAATGATGCTTTCCAACTTTGATAAAACAATCATAATAGTGGTTCTCCATTTGTTTGAAAGTCAAAAAGTTTGTAAAAGCATAAGGGTTAGTTTCAAATCATTAATGAGTAAATGGTTACAGATTTTTTCATTCTAAGATGCTATTTCTTTACATTTATGTCCCTTTATTAATTTTTTTCTCTTTTTTTTCAGCCATTAAAATCAGTACAACTGTAGATGTTGATAAATCGACGGGACTGTCTTCAACAAAATCTGACCTTGAGTATACAGCAATGAAGGAAGACATTGGTGCAAATTTCACCTGTCAGATTCAACACATCCGGTCTGCTAACATGGATTCCTCCCCTCTTACCTTCACTGTGAACTGTTAGTATCTTTCTTATACTGCTCTCTCATTCTTTCTTATAGTATTTGGATAATATTATTCCTAGTTGTGCTTTTTTGGTAAGTTTATAACCATAATGCTTCTACTTTCCTCTGTGAATCATTTTTAAACAATCCAGTGAAAGCAAATGTATTCAAAACTGAAGTGGTTAATTGTCTAATGTTGATCATAATTGATCATAATTCTTTCCATTTGAAGTAGCCATGAAAAAGAGGCCTTATCAGAATCAAATGGCTTGTTGAATTTCGTCCAATAAGATATGTAATTTGGCCTTTCAGGAGCAGGGCGTTTAGATGTTGAATGGGGTTTTGTCTTGCCTCTGGCTATTATTGTGAAGGTACTAGTCCACTGCCAACTCTCAAATGCATTTCACACCATGAGAGCACACCCAAAGCCTCAACTCTTGAGCTGAAGGGCCTCTTCTGGATCATAAGGAGCTTCTCTGAAGTGCCCTTATCTGCATGGGCTCTGGCAGGGCTTTTCTGTGCTGTGCTGTCCTCCCTGCTTTACACAAACCCTCTCTCCACAGACCCTACCGAGAAGGTCACTCTTCAAGTGGTGCCCCAGGGTCCTTTTAAGGAAGGGGATAACGTGACCCTCAAATGCACTGCAGATGGAAACCCTCCACCTTCTAGCTACATCTTCTACATGAAGGTAAATCTTCTCAGATTAACTCAAGGTGTTTACTTTGTAGTCGTCAGTCAGGAAATGAAGGCTGCGTTTTGCTAAATCTGTCTTTGTTTATCTGTAGGGAGAGAAAAAGGCAGTGGAGAACTCCAACACATACACCTTGACCAATGTCACCCGGGAAAGCACTGGAGAATACAAATGTTCTCTGGTGGACAGTGAGGATATGGCGGCTTCATTACCCATCACAGTTGAATGTAAGGAAATATTTCAGGATTCTTTTTTCATAATTGAGATATTTTGGATTGTTTTTCAAAGTCAGAAATGTGACCATCTCTGTCCTGTTCCCTAAAGATCTTGATGTGGATCTTGTCCCCACTGGTCTAATTTTCAAGGGACTTGGCGAGCGTTTTGAGTTGACCATAGACGTTATGGCTTCAGGAACACCAAAAACATCTTGGAGAAAGGTAGAAAATTAATATCTCTACTAGGGCACGAATGATTACTCACCCCTATCTAGTCATTTATAAATGCTGAAACTTTTTTTTAGGGCAATATCAAGCTGGATAGCCTGCCCAAGTTTGACAAGTTGAAGTACTCCGACTCTGGGGTGTATGAGTGTGTTGTTTCCATGTCTGGCCTCAAGAAGACACGAACATTTGAATTAATAGTTCAAGGTAAGATAAATATTTAATATATAAAGTAGAGATGCACCGATTGGACAATTTTCCACATGATAGGAACTGACCGGTCTTGGCAGTCTCGCGTCTTTCCGATTCCGAGCCGGTCCGTTTTGTTGCTAGCGGCACAGGCAATAACGTCAGCTGCGCTTTCTCACTCTCTTCTCTCTGACAGCGAAGTGACACACACCCGCCTCCTCTCACTCACTCGTCTCATTTGCTCCAGTTAAATAGTGTTTGTATTGTTCATAATTTTACTAATTCCCGCAGGTTTCGCGCTCACACAAAAAGCATGAACCACTGATCTATGTAAGTGCAGCGCACAAGAAGCTTGTGAGTCACTTAAACGGTCGAATGCACATAAAATGATGTCCAAATGCCCGTCTTTGCGAGTATTAAACAGTCAGTTTTGGAACCTAATTAGTTGAGAAAGATAACACAAGTTGTGTAACAGTATATTGGATCCCATAAACTCTTAAAGTGACAGTGGTCTAATAAACCTGTTGCTGTTTGTGCCGTTGTTTGAAATGTGTTTGTTTTTTATTTTATTACTTTTTAGTCTTTTACTTGTTTATTTTTAAATTAAAATAAAATTTTGCACTGAAGAAAGACTGTTTGTATATGCTTTCAATTATAGTTCATTAAAAGAAAATCGGTATTGGCAGGTCACACTTTAAAAAAAAAATCTGGATCGGAGAAGAAACTTGCAATCGGTGCATCTTTATTATGAAGTATGCATTCGCTTCAGCGCTTGACCACATTCCAAATGTGTTGCAACCATTTTTAAATCATAGAAATACTTTTTTTTTTGATGACCATTTTTGATTGCTGATGACATAAGTGTTTTTGCAGGTTCTCCAGTGATCAAGAACCTAATCAAGAATCGTGGTGTTGGAAGCGTGAACAAGGTCCTGACTTGTGAGGCTGAAGCCTTTCCAAAACCCACAGTACAGTGGAGTGTCAATGGCACAGATGTAAGTTTGAACTATCTGACACACTTCATTCTTGTTAGTAATATGAAGAGATATTCTCTGGTCAAGCTAGTTAAAGGTTTTCCAACCAATGCACAAAACATCACTGAATTCATTGAATACTTGCCATTGCTAATGACTTTCTGGAGTAGGATGATGATTATGATGATGCCATTAGAGAGCTAACTTGTGTTGTTATTAAACAAAAGTTAAATTGAGGATGCAGGAAAAATCTTGGTAATTCTCACCAATAAAAACAATATTCCACAGAAAGCATGTTTTGTAAAAACAAATTCTAAATAAATTAGCTGTTTTCATGGAAAAACAAAAGGCCATTTGCCAGATGTTCATGCTTTCAATGCAGATCACTGGGGGACAAGGCAACATGGCATCATTCTTTAAAAGCAAGGAGCGCAATTATATTTTTGTTCACTGTGAATCGTGATGGAAGACAACTGCTATGGTTTCCATCTGTAATATTTTTTAATGCGTATATCAAATTCGCTGCATAACAGTTTTCCTAGTCTCAACCTATAACTAAAGTTACCAAAGGACTTGGCTTTTTAAGTATCTTTTTTATTATTATTATTAAAACCTGAAACTAAGCCTTCCTTAAAGCTTTTGATATGACATTTCTAAACTCTTTTAGAATTCATCTTCCAGGGTTTATTGCTGCTTTCAACAGTGAAAGAATCTTAAAAGAGTAAAACTGGACATCTCTTATTTTGAACAAGCTAACAGCACATTTTTGAACTGATAAAGATGTTCTCACTGTGACAGCAGTAACAATGGGACAGAATGTATTTTGTTAAACAAAGCAGTTATAGTATCCATATCAGTAAGCACTAGGAGAAGGTCACTTATTCAAACAGACCAGATTAGTGTACAGAGGAAGCGATTAAAGGTGATGAGGCTTTTAAATACTTCCTGTATTTTGTGGTTCTGTATTGGTACAAATTGAGCTGTCAGTGCAACTCATCAGATGTCAGATGTGCATTACCTCATTGCCTGTGTACCTTCTGCTTTGTCTTTGTCTAAGTACATGCCTCCTCAAAAGTGAAACTGTTAGTGCACAGGGCAATAGTGCTCTCTAGTGGTGACTGTAATCCTTTACAAAAGAGCTTGTACTTCCCATATCATTGTTTTAAAATGTCAAATTATAATTGCTGTGAATGTGTAATGTTGATGTTATGTGCTGTGTTTGCAGGTTGCTGAGAGTGCTTATGTGGATGGCAAAGTCACATACAGCATTACTATCATTCCAAAGGTCAATCTCACTGTGTCCTGCACGGTCTCTAATGTCTTTGGCTCTGTAAATAAGAGCATTAATGTGTCACCACGTAAGTGTAACCTCTTTTTCCACTCTTATCTGACTTCCGAACCCTCATGAATCAAATGATTTTTCCTGTAAAGTTTATTGAAGTTGTTTAATGGTTCATTTTTAACAAAATCATTAAGACAAAACTTTTAAAAGAAGAATATTTGTAAATCTGAAATGACACTTATGTATTTAATTCAAGTCACATCCCACCAAAATCAAGTTTGTGTTTTAAACATTATTCTGCATCTAATATAGTAATGGTAACACTTTACAATAAGGTCCCTTTAGTTAATAACAAACAATGAGTCAGTCATTTATAATCTTTAACGCTGGTTAATCAAAATACAACTGTTCATGTCAGCTTAGGTCCATTAAATAATGTTATTAAGATTTAATAAATTAGCTTTAATATTAATAAATGCTTTAGAATTTTAAAGTGTCAATGTTAACAAATTGAATATTGTAAAGTATTACCATAATAATATTAGCTTTTATTTGTTGACTTTAGAATATCATTTACAGTAAAAAAACACACTTTTTTCAACTTGTTTTTAGTAAATGTTTTGTCTAAATGGTTTTGCTGGCATTAATATTCAAGTGTAGATAACAACATTACATAAAAACTCTTGCATCTTTTATTAGAGCTCAGTTTTCCTCGTCCTCATCTTCTGCTCTGTTTGTCGGGATGCTGGTCTGTGCTCTGCCTCTGACTAACACGGTTTCACTCAACTGAAACGTCTTTCGTCTAACTTGGACAAATGTGTTTAATTCTAAAACTAATCACAGCTGGATATCTGTATTTACATGCATTGCTGTTTCATTTAGGGTTGTTTAGGCAAAACCCCTATATAAATATACGTATATCATTTTCTTATTATTTTGGGGTATGTAATTTTTTCAGTTCTATATGCAGTGGGCTTTTCATTCCATAAGAATTGAATACGAATGCAATTTAATATGATTTTTATATCTGATTACAGTTATTGATGATGACCTGTCAGTTGAAAAACAAGGTAAGACATTGAACTGCAGACCAGGTCTGGCACTGTGTAATGGCTTTGCACTACAGAGGAAGAAAGCATATGCCAAAACTCAGTGCCTGTACTCAATTTAATAAACGCTTTCTGTTTTGTACAGTGTAGAAGAATACATGTCTATTTTTTTTTTAAGAAAACTAAAACAAAGGTGCTGAGATGCCCACCATCCTGACAAATATTGCATCAGTGTCTTTTTTTTAGTTTTGTTTAGTTAATGAGTGGTTTATATAAATACTCATCCAGTTGTCTGTCTTCCCCTTATCCTTTGTTGTCCATGTGTTATTCTGACTGTTATATCTGTTTAAGCAGATCAGAAAGATGACCGAGGTGACCAGACATCACTTGCTGTTGGCATTGTTTTTGGGCTGATTCTGGCTGTTTTTGCGATCGCACTAGCCTACTGGCTCTATACGAAGAAATACAGGTACTGCATTCACGTCTCAAATAGACAGTAAAGATATATTTGCACTATGCTTATGTCATCATAAAGTGGTAGATTATGTAATTTTTTTTTTTATCTGAATTTAGGCAAGGATCCTGGAAAACTGGAGAAAAGGAAAATGGATCAGCGGAGGAGAGCAAAAAGCTGGAGGAAAATCAAAGCCAAAAAGCTGATGTGTAATGTCAAAGGAGCCATTCAGGGTGAGATGGGAACAGATTTCGGAAACAGCTGAATATATGAGAACAATATTATTTATTTAAGTGTGTGTGTATGTGTTGATATATATTGTTCTTTTGAACTTTCTATTCATCAAAGAATCCTGAAATAAAAATGTAAAAAACTGTTTTCAACATGGATAATAATCATAAATGTTTCTTGAGCATCATATTATAATAATTTCTGAAAGATCATGTGACACTGAAGACTGGAGTAATAATGCTGTAAATTCAGCTTTGATCACAGGAATAAATTACACTTCACTATATATTCACATTGAAAACCGCTGTTTTAACCAGTTAACTGTCACCGTCCCACAGGTGGGACACTTGCCATTATATTTTTAAAACAATAATATCTTAGAAAAGACCTTGTGTAATATTGACAAACTACTGTATATATCATTTGAAAGCTTACAATCTCTAGTTTCCATATTTGGTGACTGATTTTCAAAATAATTTACACACGAGCCGTAATTTATCAATTTGCAACAAGAATATTTTCATACTCATAAAGCGTGTTTAGACCTTTATTTTGAAATAGCAATGAACATGAAAAATCATGAAAAAAAGTTAGAAACCTCAGTTTGATTTCATGCCAAGAGTTCAAAAGATAGCATCCATTCAATTATTTTAGAAAAAAAGGTCTGAAAATGTTTTAAATATTACGAAAAAAATAAGCTATAACGCGCATGCGTGTGCTTTGTATGTGATTCCTAGAGGTTGAATTCATATCAAAATCTGCCAAACTACCCATACTACTTCTGAATAGGATTTCTACTTCATAAATTGTGTGAAATTTGTGAAAATAATGGTTCAGATCACTCAAAACACATGGAAATGGAGACGCCCTTATATGGGCAGTAATGGAGTCTGGTTGTGCCCTAGTGAAAAAGTTTGGTACTGCGCCCAAACAAAATCTCACTGAAAGCTCATTTTTTGAGATATCAACCTAAAATTTGAAACACAACTTGTTCAGATTTTTGGCTTTGATTTTTCTGCAGTTTTAGAGTAGCCCAGGTTTTGAAAATATATATTTAATATAAAATATGAATAATTATTTTTTTTACATTGTACATTTCTATAAACTCAAACTTCTATAACTTTTTTTCTGTTTCACTTTCCTAATTTATTTCACTTCGAGAAAAATCTGCCAAATGTCTTCTTTAAAACGAGACCAATCTTAAGTCTATATTCCAAAGCATTCTTGAATTACAACCATTTAAGATTGAAATGAGCATTTCCATGTCTATTCAAAAAAAAAAAGGGGGGGGGGGGTGACAGTTAAGAGGTTAAATTGTAATTATATTTTTACAATATTACTGGGGGGGTTTTTTGTTGTATTTTTTATCAAATAATCACTTGGTGAGCCGAAGAGACTTCTTTTAAAAACATAAAAAATCTTACCGATCTAAAACTTTTGACCGGTTGTGTGTGTGTGTGTGTGTGTGTTTATATATATATATATATATATATATATACACACACATACACACAAAATATACATATATATATATATACATATATACATATATAATTTTTTTTTAAAGAAGTCTTTTATGCCAAGGCTCAAAAAATGTGATAAAAAAATACAGTAAAAACACTTATATTGTAAAGATGTATTATAATTTAAAATAACCATTTTCTATTTTAATTTATTTTAAGTTTACAATTTTCAGAAGCCATTGCTCTAGTCTTTAGTCACATGACCCTTAAGAAATCAACTCAAAATGCTGATTTGCTGCTCAAGAAATATCAGTGTTAATATTTTTGGGGAAACTGATCATTTTTTCTATAGTATTTGATAAAAGAACAGCATTTTTTAAAATGCAAATCTTTTAGAGCATTAAAAATGTCTTCAATGTTACTTTGCGATTTAAAAAAAGTTTTTTAAAAAAGATTGTATATGTGGATCCTTAACGACCAACTAAACTCCTCTATATTATGTATCCTGTCTTTCCTCAGGATTAATGACAGATCCATGAGAGGAGTAGAAAAACTGGTGGAATCTGTGGAGAAAAAGAAGCTGTAACCGGTCCTGAGTAGCTTTGTCAGTTACAATTCCACCATCATCTGTAAGGTGTCTGTGCCTCCCCTGTGCCGGGGGATTTAATTAATAATGTGTGTTGTAAAATATGTGAATCTTTTGAGGTGAAGATCAAGCCTGTTCAGAAACCTGTGTCTGTAAAGTGTTTATTCATAATGTTGGGTTTAATATTTGACCCCCCCCCCCCCTCCCTCCCTCTGGAGAAAAAAGTTTTTTTTTGTATGTGCATCAGGTATTTAGTTGATGCAAATTTTCATTTGCAATTTCACATGGTAGAAACACTGTGGCCTTTAGTATCTGCAATGGACTTTTCCTGTAGAATTACACACAGTACTAATCTGTGGCATGATGTGAAGCATGATTTTCAGATTTATACTGAGCACTTGGCTCGTTTTCAGGTCTTAACAAGTCAATGAGCAAAATTATATCCCTATATTATACTTCTTTGCATCTAGAAGACCATTATTTACCAATATTTAGATCTTATTAGCATTTCAATAAAGACTGACTTTCAATTGAGTTAAAATGTCTACATCGGACAAATTACATTGTGATTTCAGAAGTAAGACGATGCAGGGACCAAAGCTTGTTAATGAAAACCATGCCTTTTGCTTATATTGTTTAGCATACCGTTTTCAATAAGTGAAGACCATGTTAATTAGAGATCTTATTCAGATCTCAATAATGTATATTTACACTCCCTTTAATCTCTGATTATCACCAGTTTTGTGTGTTCTTTGTTTCATTGTTTTGATGCAGAATTGGATATGATCTGGTTTAAGCATTACTTGTAAATATGGTAAACTTTTTTTCTATGTTCTATTTATATTGTTATGGTTTAGCTAAATGCCAGTGTTTTGACATTACAGTAGCTAGTTTTAGTAAATTTGTTGAATGGTACGGTACAATTGATGGTATTTCCTTGCAGGCTTCAAAAATGTGAAAATCTTTCCGTTTGCATAGTGGTGTTGCTGTATTCCCACACTTCAGTGCTTATTCTGTGCATTTAATCCATCAAACCAAAGAGGTTGAATGTGGTCATGCAAGTATTGTACATACTGAACATTGTTTTGTACTCCTAGTTCAAATAAAGTGTACATTTTTAGGAAAGTGTTAGTTCATTCTTTGCTGTTTTGTTGATCATCCTTCCACACTGTATGCTCACTGTTCAAAAGTTTGAAAAGTCACCATTTATTTGATCAAAAATACAGTTAAACTGTAATATTGTGAAATATTACATACATCTTGCATCACCGTCCTTTGTTCAAGTCGTTATTCAATTTCTGTTTGTCAAATATCTTTAAAACGTATCAATTTTATGACTCAGTTGTTGAATCTTTATGTTCATACAAATATTTACACTCTGCGTTAAAGTGCAATTTATTCCTGTGATGGCAATCATTTTAGACTTTAATTATTTACTTAATTTAATTATTTTAGTCTTTAGTGTCACATGATCCTTCAGAAACCATTCTAATAGAAACGTTTCTTATTATTATCAACGTTGAAACCAATTGTATATATTTAATATTTGTGCAGAAACTGGTATATTTTTCTCAGGATTCTTTAATAAGTTAAAACAGCATTTATTTAGGATTAATTTTTTTTTGTTTCAAGATCATAGTAATAATAACATTCCAGCCCCAAATTGTGTTTATAATTGTTATCTCTAAAGGTTAATTTAATATATTTCATGTAAAATATATTGGTCATTTAACTTAAGAGACACTAATAGCACATTAATTTGACAAACGTTTGACCATGTTTGACCAGTAATATCAGAATCACAATATTGGTAGTATTGGGTGATGACTGCTCAGTTGTAGCACATTAACAACATTCCAATATACACTGCCTAATATAACTGGGTCGTCATATGCTGCAAACTGTGTCCAAAAAACATTATTCTTTAGTAAAATGACAGACCAAAATTATCATTGATGGAGATGTTTTTGATTACTTTTAAAATTAGGCAGTATAAAACAGAATAAAACAATAAGAGACATTACAAAAAGAAAAATGAAATGGAAAACTATTTTGTGGTTGAAGAGGTAATTGTTGGGAACCGTAAAAGAACCGCTCCATGGACTTTATCTTATAAGGTAAATTGGAGAATGGTAAGTGGTTAGCACCTGTTTAGTCTCCCCCAACAGTTTTTATTTCTCAGTGCAGCTGTTGCTGTCCATGGTGCTGTAATAGGCAAAATATATTACAACTGCGATCAGATGTGCAGGTTTGATAAGAACAAACTCACCATTAACATTAAATCACAATCCATGCATCATTTTTGTTTTTTATCAGGACAAAAAAAATGATAAGTCTGACAATTGATAAGCACAAAATGAATCACACAGAACAGAGAGGTACTGCTAAGTAAGATTGTGCATAGAGTTTTAATAATAAACTTTCAATATAATACAGTTTGACAAAACACAATGAGAATCAGGATAAATTTGCAATGTCCTCTGATGTTTTGGAATGTTACTGATCCTAAGCTTTGTATCAATTGTTATATATAGTTTGTTTGAATTAATATATATAATGGTATTTTTATTTAATTTTTTATTACATATAGTATGTTTTACCTAAAATAAACAGGTGTTTAAAGCTGCATCATTATTGTGTAAAAATAACATTTTGCATAATATAAGTCCGAACAAACTCTATGTAAGCTGCTTGTCAATAAAGCGCAAAATAAAAAAGCAGCCCCATGTGGCATAAAATTGTTCGGCGTTTTGAAAAAATATTTTCTGTATGACAGTTTTACTTGATTGACACCTTTACTGTCTGCTTCCCCTTACGAATCGTCGTCATCTGAACATCCGGGCACTCAGTTGCTTGATTGACAGTTGCCATAGCAACATCCCAGGCTGTCGCCATTTTGTCAGTTGCTTTTTTAATCTTTCAAATGTTTTCGCTTCCCGCCGGAATAATGCAGTCACGCGCTCGTAACAGTGGCGATTTTGGAAAGGCTTCGCCAGCCGCGTCTGACTGAAAGCGACACCGGGACAAAGAATCGGAATGTCAGGAATATATTTAGTGGGCTAGTCGTCCGTGTCTCGGGTCCGCCGGGCCGGTCCGCTGCGCAGGTTTGGAACGCGCGCCATTTTGTGAAAACTGACAGAAAAGCTTACCGTTTTTTTTGTTCACATTTTTATGCCGCTGTTTGTATAATATCTGCACGTCGTTGTTTTTAGTGATTAAGTTTGCTTTTGAAAAACAATAACTTTGCGCCTCCACCTCTCTAGAAGCGAATTATCTTGAATGTGCGTTTCCAACGCTAGCTGGTTAACATTAGCTGCGTTCGTTAAAGTCACTGAGAAAGAGCGCTAACTAGCCGCTAGCCTTCACTTCACCACTTATAAACCATGATTAACACACACACGAAGACTGACACAGGCAAAACTGAACTGGAAAGACGCTGTTTTATCTGCCAATTAAAATAAAGAAAGCATTTAGCCCCGTCTGGCTCAGTACATTAGGGGTGTCTCATCGGAAGCAGCGTTGAGAAACTGGATCAGTCGCTTCACTTTACTGGATCTGGGACTTTAAATGAAGATCACACCATCAAAGGTGAGTCCTTGACATTTGTAACGTTAGAGGTCTAACGTTAAATGAAACATGGGGGGGGTGTGTAGGTTTGTTTACAAACCGCTTGTTTGGTAGAAGCTACAGGCTAACGGTAGTTTGATTTTGGCCTAACTTAGATGGCTAACTTAGCCGATTATTAACTTCCTTTACGTTAGCTAGCTATCTTTTTTAATACGCCAAATAGCTTATCCGGTCATCTCCTCCGATTTTACACTGTCCCTGGCCTCACTCGTGAGTATTTGTTGTGTTTTTATGACGGTCTGCTAGTCGTTTAACGGGTAAAGTTAACCCCCGTGTTGCTCCGCTAGGTCAGACTGCAGGAACAAATGTGGTTTGCTCAGCCTAACGATTTTGTATACAACTAAAAGTCGACCAGCTGGTAATATACAAAAGTGTATCATCACATCAGTCTGATAGGAGTGTTTGACTGGTAACGCTGGTGGTGGTGGTGATGATGATGATGATGATGAAGCCCCATGACTAGCGTGTTGTCAGTTAGCCATCAGGCTGGTTTCCTGTCGGGGGAGGGGGGGGCTGACATTAGCCAGCGATGTGATGCCTAACCATAGTTATCCAGCAAACATTGCTCAGTCATGTAGTACGGGTTTAGACTTTTGCGTGACGATGGAGGCGTTAAACGAGTCCGATCGACCCCAATGAATGGCTAAGCCATCTAGACAGGTAAGGTCCGCTTTACCTGTCACTATCATTCAGTTAGTTTGCTAGGCAAGCTGAGTGTTCAAGGATTTACATCAAGTTATGTATGGTTAATGTGGAGGAATTGATGGCACGCCACTCGGATTTGCATTTGTCAATCTAGGTAAAGCTTTTAGAAGGGTGCTTTCTCCATTGCAAGATGAATAATGATCTCTAACCAAACCAGGTAAATACAAGGCAAGCTGTAAGATTTCCTTTTTCTGTCACCTGAAGGTTCAGCTTTGGCACGGTTATATCTGTAGCCCCAATAAAAGTACAGTTGGATCAGATATGAATGTAATATATAAATACAGAGATGTCCCTTAAATAAGGTCATGGTTTGTTGCATCTGTTTCCCTGAGGTAAACTTTTCTGAAAGTTCATAGGTGGATCCATGTCAGATGCCATCTTTTTTTGTCCATCACTTCCTCCCACAAATGTGATTGACAGTGGCCTCAGTTATAACACAGGCTTTTGTGCTTATTTTTAGGGATGCACTGATTTATTTTTTTTATAGCCAATATCAATTTTAACAAACTATTAGCCAATTTTAAATAACGATATTTGTTACTTGCTGTCTCATCTAGGGTTGGGTATCGTTTGAATTTGAACGATTCTGATTCCAATTCGATTCCTTGTTTCAATTTTGGTTCCTAAAGATTCTCGATTCCGATTCTTTTAAGAGGCAGGGTCAAAAAAGTTTAGCTAACCAATGGTCTTTCTGAAGGAAATACTCCTTTCTGAAGGAAATACTCCTTTTGTCACAAATACTCCTTTTGTCACAAATTTTGCATTTTGCCGAGATTTCGTTTTTAGAAAAGTGAAGACGCACTTTGGACCGCCGACAAAGCTACTCATGTTCGACTCGTGCGGTCATGCCAACACTTCCGGTAGACGCTTCTTCGTTGATGTTGTTCAGCGGTTTCTTCTTCCGGTCGGCGGACTGTGAATATCGAAACTAGGAATCGAAATTTTAACTTTTGAACGATTCCGGGAAAAACTAAAAGTTAGTCCCGATTCCAATCGATACTCGATTCTCGAGACAAAACCCTAGTCTTATCTGAACTTTTGTCATTAAAATAGATTAGTGTTCTCAGCATGTTTTTAATTGGCAAAGTTCAAAAACATAATGTATTAAGGTATACAAGATAGTTGTATTGCTGCATCATCAAATAATTTCTAATAATAATTTGATTAGACCTATTTAACATTCAACAGGCCAACATAAATACTACACAATAAAGATACACGTGAAATAAACGGTGCTTTTCAGTAGTTTTCAGGCACAGAAATAATCAATGTAATGTAAGATTGTATATTTTTCACTGTATGATGAATTAAAATATACTGTGATACACAAGCGTATTATTTCTCAAGTGTTAATGGTCATGTTAAACATAACATCTTATGTCTACAAGGATACTCGCCAAGACGTGCACTTTGACATAATTTTGTGTGAAAAAGAAAAACTCAAATTATTATTTGCATGCGGTCTTAGACACGACTTTGTGGCTTTAAAATAAAAAACTTCTCTCGTAGTGAGTAGAATTTAATTCTCTTTCTCTTCTTGCTCTTGAATATTTAAATTCACAAGACGTGTACAGGATAAACTTTACTGAAGATGCAACTGGTGCCAGCGTTGTTCACGCTGACACCAGTCAATTGTCAAACTCTGAGCATTTTGTACAGATTTTATTTTGTTTTGGGAAGTAGGCTATTTAATTTTACCCAGATGAAAATATTGGATTATGCAAATGACATGATTCAACTAAGTGCCTTTACACAGTTAATAAATAAACAATTGGTTTGTTATATCAGCTGTT